TGACTAACGGTAGGATCATGAATAGGGAATCCAAAGTTGCGACAAACAGCTTCATTGGAGCTGATGTACCGGCCAATTTGGTAGAGCGTTATTTCGTCGTTGTTATTCACTGGAAAAGCGGTCACATTGGTATTTTCAACTCGAAATACTGCCATATCACTGCCTTTATTCACATACTTGCAAATATATTTGATGCTCTTCTTTTAAGGGCGAGCATAAGTATTAGAGTTTAAAGTGAATTGTTGCAACGTGCGTGAATATTACTTTTTGATTTATCAGGTTTCTATGTCTAGTTTGGATTGGAATATGATTAAATAAAGATATATTTAAAATATACGTTAAATCTGTCCAAAAAATGAAAAAAAAATTAGTTATAAACCTATTCTCATACCTACTGAATATACATATAAAATTTCATCAAAATCGATCCAGCCGTTTAGGAGGAGTTTAACCACTAAAACTGTGACAAGAGATTTTTATATATATAGATATATATATATATAGTACCGTACAATAATAGATGAAATACTTTTAGTTTTTGATATTTTTTTAAACTGCTCAAGATGTACTTAAGGGATTATTTTATAACTTTAAAGGAGTTTAGTTCATGCGATTTTTAATATTTATTTATTAATAATATCTACTAATAAATATTTAATAATTTTATATATTAATTTATATTTTATATATTATTAAATATTCATTAATTAATAAATAATTAATAATATTTAATAAATATTTAAATAAGAAATATTTGGTTGAAACTGAGAAACAGTTTATTCCTTTTTCAAAGGAAATAAAATTGTTAGCTTGTTCTATTTTATGTTTAATAGATCACTGCTAAGGTTAAGGGTTTTCCTCAACTGCCCCCCCCCCCACTTTATTCATAAATTTAAAATCTTTGTACAGGTTTTTCCTTAAAGATGTCATTTATAACCCTCATCAAGCATGCAAATAAAAACAAAAAAAAAGTGCGCACATGGATGTTCGCAAATTAATATTTAACCGTAGAGGGAAAAAATGCTATTCACATTTACAATTAATTACAGTGGAGATAATTGGAGGTTGAAACCTGTGTCCAATAATCGTCTTTAACTCCTCTCTCTTTCCTACCCCAACCAAATATTGATATATCTGTCTTCAATATCTTATCAAAAAGTGAGATATCTCGGCGAAATGAGGATAAGAACAACATTTGATGGACAATCTTAAAATCAAAGCTGTTAACACGTAGTATCGTTCAGGGTATTTTTTTTTAATGGCGGGCACTTGGGATGTATTGCCCCATTGGCCAGGAGTGCCAGAACTACTACTCTCTTCTCGTTACCCAGTGGGCACCTGTGGCAAAGCCACGGCGGTGGAGCAGCGTCGCCCACGTCACACAACCACAAACCCGTTTACAGAGCGGGTCACAATCACACGTAGGAGAAAGGACATAGAACACAGAGAGAGAGAAACATCCATGTCCTGAGCGGGATTCGAACGCGCAACCATCGGCTCCGCAGTCAGGCACGCTAACCATTCGGCCATCTGGTCGGCTCGTTCAGAATATAAAACTTATAATTGTAAAAATTGAGCCGTGATGGCTCGTCTCCCTATGAGGTGACACGGGTTCGATCCCAGCGAAGGCTGGTTGATTCAAATTCCGCACGCGACTCGCACCACCACGGTGCTGATGTAAAATATTCTCAGTGGTAGACGGATCATGGGTCCGAGTCCCCTTGCTGTTAGGCTAACAATAAAGGTTCATGTAACACTTCATGTAACACAAATGTGGGTTAATTCCATCAAAAAGCCCTCCACGGAGGCAAAATTTCTCCCACTACTTGATCCTGGAGTTCCCTTGTCTTCTTAAATGGGTTTAAAATTACTAGGCTTCGGAGTTTGACATTAGTAACACTAAATTGGGCCGGCTGTTCAATGACGGTTATAAATTGTAAAAATTTAGATTTCAATAAATGTTTTTGTACCAAAATTTAATAAATGGAGCTCTAACTTTCTAAGCATTAAATATATATCAATTACTATTTTAAAATTTTAAGGTAGTCATTCTAAGCATTTAATACAAGTGCGCAAAAAAGTTTTAATTGACACCGACTTTTATAAAAATATTATGTGCTAAAATAGTTTATAATAAAAGCAGAAATTTCTGTAGTTGTAGTTTATTTACGTCGCACTACAGCTGCGCAATGGGCTATTGGCAACGGTTTGGGAAACATCCCTGAGGATGATCCGAAGACATGCCATCACAATTTTGATCCTCTGCAGAGGGGATGGCACCCCTGCTTCGGTAGCCCGACGACCTGCACGCGAAGTCGAGCACTTTACGGTAGAACAGTTTAACGAGGACCAATACCGCACACCCTCGGTCCCTACGCAGACTGATCCAAGTGGTAACCCACCCGTACACTGACCGTAGTCAGTGATGCTTGACTTCGGTGATCTGCTGGGAACCGTGTCTTAACGATCAGTCCACTGCGGAACCAGAAATTTCTGACTTAGGAGGAAACTTGTGAATTGTTCGAGCAATTTAACAGTATATTTGTATTTAATAGCTTCCTAAATCAAAGCTTCCTAGTCCAAATATTTTAATGCATGGAAAATTTAGCTTAACAAAACGGCAAATAAAGTCCTATTTTAAGATTGCTAGTAAATTGTACTTAAATTCGCTTTAAACTGAAATATAGTATTGAAAGTAAGGAAATTTCAGAAATCGTAAATTTTGTTTTTATTAAGCTAAATGTTTTTTTTTTAATGTATCAGCTAGGTTGATATGACCGAAACTGTAGATTTTAAAATTTTGTTAGTTTATTTTAAAAGAATACTAAAGCAGTCTTCATTTATTTAATATTAAATGTAATGTATTGTACTTTGAATGGATTAGTATGAAATAAACTAATCAAATTTTTATTTAATGTCGATGTCAATGTTATGCATATTGATGTATTTGCATTATAATGTACAAATTTCACCACTAAAAAATGTTCATAATACATTACAAATTTTAAAAAAAATGAATACTGGCTTGCCTTGTAATTTATCTAATACAAAACCAAAGTTCGCCGAAGAAGTTTAAAATCTTTTTGAAATTGCTTATGAAATAGGAGAATTTAAAATGTTCTAATTTTTTTAATTTGCTCTTTGTGTTAGGTGTGATACATAGGTTTTACGGTAATATGAAAAATAACGGTAATATGAAAAAACACATTTTTTTAACGGTAATATGAAAAATACGCATAATATAAACTGAAGCAGTGTAATTACCGCATTAAGTTTATATTTTTCATTAATAAATATTTATTTCGATTTAGGATTATTCATAATTTCTAAATTTTGTAGTAGTTTAAGGCTAAAATTTAATCTGTAATTTTTAAAAATGGTCAATTTCAATTAGGATCCATTGAATTTTGACTTTTATATAAATGAGATTATTGCAGAATTTCTAACTGCGAAATAAAATTAAACTTTTGCTATACTCAAAATTTAATTAGTTGAATAAAAATTCAAAAAGAAAAGTAACTTTCATTAAAAAAATTAAATTGTATTACTTAAAAAACATTTTTGCAATCACATGTTAGATGTCTTTCAAAGTAAGTATAAGTAAAGTTAAACAGCAATTAACAAAAATGTTTGGCTCTTTTTTTTCTTTTGAAAATGATAAATTTTATTTAATTAATAAATTTTATTAATGTGATTAATAATTTTTATTAATATAATTGTTAATTAATAAATTTTATTAATATAGCATAAAAAGCTTTAACAAGTCTAATTTCAGATTGAAATTTTTCCTGTAAAACTGTTTTTTGTATTTTATGTTTTATTTACAACATTTTTAAAGGATGCTTATAATTTTTATCAACTTGATTGAAGAGTTAACTTAAATTGTGTTATTATGAAGAATACTTCCTATAGTGAAAAAACTTTTAAGTCAAAAAAACTGTTGAAAATGAAAATCTTAAAATTGCTGATAATGCTACTACAGTTTTTTGATTGTGTTAAAATTTTTACCATGAGAACATATGAAAATGTTTTATAATTCATTTTACTTTAATATAATGTTAACATTACAAATATGATTTTTTTTTACATTTTAATTGTACTTCTACCATAGGGAAGATTTTGCAAATGGGTAAGTTTTAAAATTTTTTGGATTGTAATTTAGTACTTTTGGCGAGGGCGGATGTAACATAAAAACCTTTAATTGATCTTTTTATGCTATCCCAATTAATTATTCAAATCGAAATACTTTCTCACACTTTTAAAAGCTACATCCTGTTTCTAAATCTATTTTTGGCCCAACTATGCATAAATTTAAATAAAGATCTTTTTTTCCTTTTAAGCCGTGGGAATCACTCGAGCAAGTTCATTAACCAATAGTAATTTCTGAGATTTCCCTCTTTTCCCTAAATAGAGACATTTTAGGATTTTTTGCAAGATTTTCCCTACCAGAAAGACTGTTTGCTGATGGAGTAAACATCACTTCTNTATATATATATATATATATATATATATATATATATATAATACCAAAAGATTAAAAGATTAATATTTCCTCCCTGAGAAACTTGCAATAAATTAATTTATTAAGGGAAACAAATAAAAAAAATATTTCAAAAATACTTTGCTTATGCTTTTAATAAACATTAATATTATTCACCAAGATCTAAGAAAGCTATTATAAATTCATTCAAAAAAATTCATTTTATCCAGCTCTTTCCAAAAAGGTTGTGCACCTCTCTCATTATAGCATTTTAAAAAATAAATAAGAGATAACAGAAGTTTATTTTGTAATATTTTTAACTCTCTCGTATAAACAAATATGTAAAAGGGTTCTCCAACGACAGATTTACTACCTTTCAACTTATGACATAAAGATAGTATTTGGCAATCAATTACCGATGCAACTTCCGAAGGTCAAATAGTTCATTATAAAACTCAATCGTTGAATCAGATTTTAATAAAATCTCAAAACCGTACTTCATATTTAGGAAAATGTATCCATCGAGTTGTTTATGAATCACGTTCATTGCATTAGCCTCATTAACGTTAAAGGTGTGCAACGCCCAAATTATACTTTTGTAGTTTCCTGCATTGTTTAAGGAAAAAAAATCATGTTTTCGTCAGATTTATTTTCGGAAGGTGTCTCGAGTCAGTTGACTGAATCGATTTTGAAAGATACTTGTTTGAGTTTTGTCTTGCAAGACTACTACTCCATGATGGACAGTGACGGACCTAGATCTTTAAATGGACTAGCACTGCACGATAACTACCAGGACACGAACTACGCATACGAGGCTACAGAGGAGCAGAGGCGAAATGCCCGGATGAGCAGTCTGGATGACTTCTGGAAAATGCACAGGAAATCCCTGGATGATCCGGATGCTTTCTGGAGCGAGGCCTCGGAATCTTTATATTGGAAAATTCCGGTACCGAAACAAAATGTATGCAGGTACAATTTCGATGTCCATAAGGGAAAGATTTTTATCGAATGGATGAAGGGTGCGATGACCAATATTTGCTACAATGCACTGGACAGAAATGTTGAGAAGGGACATGGGGAACAAATTGCCTATTTCTGGTATTGTACATTTTTTTTATACTTTTAATTATTCTTTTACCGTCGCAAAGTAAGAAAATTTCATCCTCTTACGGCGATATGGTAAGATAAGGGATTGTTTTACTACTGTAACCACTGATTATTTTCCATCTTGGGATTTTTTTTTTATCTCATTTTCTTACTGCTACTAACATGATAAAAGAAATTTTATTCTCTTACCCTTAACTATGATAAAGGCAATTTTATCTTTCCGATATTACTATAACAAAGGAAATTTAATTCTCCTACCACTACTACTGTAGTAAAAGAAATTTTATTCTCTAACCGCTACTACTGTAATAAAGGAAATTTTATTCTCTTACCGCTACATCTGAAAGGAAATTTTATTCTCTTAAAGCTAATAATGGAAATTTTATTCTCGTACAGCCACTACTACAATGAAGGAAATTTTATTCTCTTACCACTACTACTGTAGTAAAAGAAATTTTATTCTCTTACCGCTACTACTATAATAAAGGAAATTTTATTCTCTTAAAGCTAATAATGGAAATTTTATTCTCTTACCGCCACTACTGCAATGAAGGAAATTTTATTCTCTTACCACTACTACTGTAGTAAAAGAAATTTTATTCTCTTACCGCTACTACTATAATAAAGGAAATTTTATTCTCTTAAAGCTAATAATGGAAATTTTATTCTCGTACCGCCACTACTGCAATGAAGGAAATTTTATTCTCTTACCACTACTACTGTAGTAAAAGAAATTTTATTCTCTTACCGCTACTACTATAATAAAGGAAATTTTATTCTCTTAAAGCTAATAATGGAAATTTTATTCTCGTACCGCTGAAATGAAGGAAATTTCATTCTCTTACCACTACTACTGTAGTAAAAGAAATTTTATTCTCTTACCGCTACATCTGTCATAAAGGAAATTTTATTCTCTTACCGCACTACTGTAATAAAGGAATTTTATTCTCTTACCGCTACAACTGTAATAAAGGAAATTTTATTCTCTTACCACTACTACTGTAGTAAAAGAAATTTTATTCTCTTACCGCTACTACTGTAATAAGGGAAATTTTATTCTCTTACCGCTACATCTGTAATAAACGAAATTTTATTCTCTTACCGCTACATCTATAATAACCGAAATTTTATTCACTTACCGCTACTATTATAATAAAGGAAATTTTATTCTCTTAAAGCTAATAATGGAAATTTTATTCTCGTACCGCTACTACTGCAATGAAGGAAATTTTATTCTCTTACCGCTACTAACCTAATTTAGGAAATTTTATTCTCTTACCTCTATTACTGCAGTAAAGGAAATTTTATTCTCTTACGGGATAAGGAAATTTTATTATCTTGCTGCTGATTATTTATATTATCTTACCGCTAATAATGGAAAGTTTATTCTCTTACCCTTATTTATTATAAAAGCAATTTTCTCTTTCCGCTACTACTGTAATAAAGGAAATTTTATTCTCGTACCGTTCATAAGGGAAATTTTATTCTCTTACCCTTATGTACGATAAAAGCAATTTCATCTTCCAACATTACTATAACAAAGAAAATTTTATTTTCTTACCACTACTACTGTAATAAGGAAAACTTTAATCTCTTACCGCTACTACTGTAATAAAGGAAATTTTATTCCCTTACCACTACTACTGTAATAAAGGAAATTTTATTCTCTCACCGCTACTACTGTAATAAAGAAAACTTTATTCTCTCATCGCTACTACTGTAATGAAGGAAATTTTAATCTCCTGCTGCTACTACTGTAGTAAAGGAAATTTTATTCTCTTACCGCTATTACTGTAATAAAGAAAACTTTATTCTCTCATCGCTACTACTGTAATGAAGGAAATTTTAATCTCCTGCTGCTACTACTGTAGTAAAGGAAATTTTATTCTCTTACCGCTATTACTGTAATAAAGAAAACTTTATTCTCTCACCTCTACTACTGTAATAAAAGAAATTTTATTCTCTTACCTCTACTACTGTAGTAAAGAAAATTTTATTCTCTTACCACTACTACTGTAATAAAGGAAATTTTAATCTCTTTCTGCTACTACTATAATAAAGGAACTTTTATTCTCTTCAGCTACTATGTAATAAAGGAAATTTTATTTTCTTACCGCACTACTGTAATAAAGAAAAAAAAATTTCTCTAACGGGATAAAGAAATTTTATTCTCTTATGTACTGCTGATTATTTATATTCTCTCACCGCTAATAATGGAAAGTTCTCTTACCGCTACTACTGTTATAAAGGAAATTTTATTCTCTTACCGCTACTATTATAATAAAGGAAATTTTATTCTCTTACCGCTACTACTGTAATAAAGGAAATTTATTCTCTTACGGGATAAAGAAAATTTTATTCCCTTACAACCGATTACTTTATTTTTACACCGTTACTACTCTGATAAGGAAATTTTATTCTCTTATCACTGCTTACTTTTATTCTCTGCTACAATATGGTAAGGCAATTTTTATTCTTTTACTGCAGATTATTTTTATTCTTTTACCTCTGTTTATTTTATTCTTTTACCGTTGATTACTTTTATTCTCTACCTACTTTTCCAACTACGATAAGTGAAACTTTGTTCTTTTAACTCTACTGCTTGAATAAGGGATATTTTATTCTCTTATTACTTATAAGTTTTAAAATCGAACTGCAAGTTATAAAGGACTGAGAAAGAATAAAAGATTATCGAGAGAAATTTAAAATTATCAGTATTGGTTACAGCAACAACACAGTCGTAACAATATTCTCATTGAGTTCGGAGGCCTTAGAGTCCTTAAAATTTCCCAATTTTTAGATGTTAGCAATTATATTTTCAGTGGAGAAAATTTGTGTTTTTAACGCATTTAAAACATCATATAAAACTTAATATCGTTCTGTCTTGGTATTGAGGTTAAAATTTTGAATGTTTTATTTTCCTTCTTTTTCATGTTTTCAACTTTTAAGCGAGTTAACCTCAAAAAGATTACTGTATGAAATTGGAAATAAATATATTTTAGTTGTAATACTCTAAGTTGTTCTTAAAAAAAACTTAAGCATATTTTTAAATATAAATAATTACATGTAAAAAAATTATAATCATGAAAACACTTGCAGTTTTTACTCCAGAAATTTTTTAACTTCTTTTCTTAAAACAATATCAAAAATTAAAACTTAGCAAAAATCGTAAGCAAAAACCGTTTTTTCAAAATTGCCTGAAATTTGTTTGTTTTGAAGTATAAATATTTTTGGTTAAATCAAAAACATTATTTTTTTTTTTTTTTTTTTTAATTTTTCAAAACTTTACGAAAGCATCAAAATTTTTGTTAACGTTTTTAAGTTTTCTTTATTGAGCCATAAAACAATATTCCCCAAACATATTTTTATTAACATATGGTTTCTCTTGCAACAAATTAGGAAGAATTACCCCTGGAATACCCCTCTTCTAACTCCTCAAATCCTAGATCTATTAAAATTTTATGCTATTTAGTAAAAACAACACCCTGATTACTTTTGATCTAATGATCGGATTTTCTCATGAAAAGGCGGATCTATGAATAAAACTCAGCGTCTATAAAAATGATCCCAACTGATACAATTATGCGTAAAAACAAATTTACTAATCATTAATGCTATTTTAAATAAACGAACATTTTTTCTTTAAAAAAAGAAAGTTTGCTTTTAATTTCATATCGTAAAAATTTGCTTTAAAAGATGAGTAGAGGTTTATTTGATGAGATGCTTGTTCTTTTCTAAAATAACTTTTTTTTTATCTAATTTAACTTTCAACTCTAGAAGTAAATCGTTGTTTTTAGTTACTACTCTGACTGCAACAAGAGGTTGTATTGTTAAAAAGAACTCTCTTAATAAAGAGTCTCACACACATATTTAGAATACATTTTAATCTACTTATTTGTCTTGTTTTGATTCCTGTTTCCTGATTTGACCTTTTCCGCATTTGGTGCTGTTGTTTGCCCAAACACTGGGAATTGTTTTAAATGGACTCTCCCTAAAGGTTTCCTTCAATACAAAATCAATGGAAAAAAATTCCGTTCTATGTACCATCTGTCCTTACTGTGGGAACAACGTTGGCTCAACTAATAGGGTGCCCCTGAAAGAGTGGCCAACAAATCTGCCCTTCTGTATGAGCTAGGTCATTATCCAGGTGGGCATTGGAAAAAGAAATTTAAAAAATAATAATTACATATACATCATGCAAATGATACATTATTGCCCTACAATTTCATAACTTCGAGAATTGTTTCTGTCAAGATGCTGTTAGTAACGCCGTCTTTGATCATACGACTTGCTTTTGATCAAAAGGGCGTTTTGATCATAAGACCCTGAAGCTTCCTACTCACGCGAGGTTCTTTAAACCTGCTATTTTTATATAGCATCTGGTGAATAAAGTAAATGCTTCAAGGAAACTTACATAATACGCTTTTTCTTTTCATTTGTTAGGTTATATTACACTTATATTTCAGTTCATCTCTTACAAACTGTATGAAAATCAATTATGAAGGAAGTCCACAGAAATATACCACAGTTTTAATTTCCACAAATGATCTCCTAAACTCCGTAAAATGTTATGTAAATTAAAGACTCATAACAAAGACATACAATTACGTACTTTAAGTTATTTGTATGGTGAAGAAAAATGAGTGGATGTAAAACATGCAAGTTTAAAAAAAAAAGCTTTATGAACTTCATCTAGCCTAGTCAATTCTAATTATAAACAGTGGTCGGAAAAAAACTACATTATTTTTGTAGTTTACCACAACTACAACTTTTTTATAAAATGTAGTGACTATAAACTACTTTGGAATTTTGTAAGTACTTCACTACTTTAAAGGAGACGAACTTTTCTAGAGAACTTAAATTTACACCCATGCCCAAAATGGTTTTGAATAAGAAATTGGCTTATATTAAGCATAAGGAAACATCTAAGAAATACTTATTCATGTTTACATAAACCTGTTTGTTATTCCAAAATGCTTTTTTTTTTTTTT